AAAAAAAAAAAAAAAATAAATGGCGAATATTTATATATAAAAAATTTTTTATAGGAAATAAAGATATGAAATGCGAACTATTAAGTTTATGATAAGTAAGAGAATTTGAAATAATTAAACATAAAAGAGATAAATGAGAAGATGTGAAAAGTTACTTAAAGTTTGACTTTGATAATGACGTAAGTGAGAGTCGTACGATTAGGAATGTTAAATCAAATTATGTTCCTTATATGGAAATCGTCGAATCGTGCAATCTATAAATATCGCCAAAATATTGACTTTTCGATAGTATTTATTTAAACAGATATGAAAAGTGTTTCAATTATGAAAAATGTGTCTAAATAAAAATTTACTTTTAACAAAATGCATGATTGCTTAATCTTATAAAATATATTTTCTCTTAATTCTTTAAATTTTCTGTATAAGATTTTAATATAATGAATGTACAAAAATTAATTTAAACATAAAAGCAATTTATCAAAAAATTATATAGTATATAATATAATAAATATAAATTAAATATTACAAATTATTAACTTCGTTATATATAAAATGATCAAACATATTAAATTTTGTTTTTTATTTTTAAGATTTATTTTTATTTGAAAACTAATAATAAGAAATATTGTGAAAAAAATAATTAGAAATAAACATTAACAAATTTTTTGTAAACATACGAATATACGCAGTTACATGTTTTGTAAAAGGTGTTCGCGAAATGTGTCAACATGTTAACGAATGTATTGACACCTGCAATAACATCGTTACAACAAATTTATATTACTGGCTATCATTATTTCTATGATAATTCGAAAATCAAAATTCTTAATAATAAAAATTAAAAGTATAATAATAATGATTCAAAAAATTGAATAATGATTTAAAAAATAATAATAATAATAAAATGAGCAAAAAAATAGCATGATATAAGTTTTGTTAATATATAATGATTAATTATCAGCATTATTTGAAAAATCTTTAATAATAGAAAGTAGAATCAAAAAGCGCATGCGCTTTTATGTTATTAAAAAAAATTAAAAATTCTTGGGTAAGCAATTAATAACGTTCGGGACGAACAAATATTTTCCCGTCACATATAAATTTTAACATATTATATTTTTGAAATTCTCAGAAATTGATAATTTTATAAACTAAATTTAGCAAATTACTTTACCGAGAATTGAATTTTCCTACGATTAAGCTTTTAACGGTCCACATGCATAGAAAAATATATTACTATATAGCCAGAAAAATGAAGCTTGAAGTAAAAGAAAATTGAAATAGTATAAACTAAATTCTGATCTGTGTTATACATTTTTATCTCGAGCAGTTTAAATTTTTGCTAAATTTAAAATTGTTACGTATATACGTATAAATCAATATAATACTCATGTTATATGTTAGAACGAAGAATATGGTTGGTTCAAGTTTTCAACGAATAGCAAAGGGGAGTAGTGTTAAGAGGAAACGACCGTTAAGTGGTATAGCGAATAATCGTGCAGCAGAATAGTCTTTTGTATTTTACTATCGAACAGTCTTCTTTTTATATTTTACTTTTTTTCATAACATCGCATTGAGAACCGCACATTTTTACTTTTATTAGAAAATTATTAAAAATAATTTCATAATTCTTTGTCTATCGATCGTATTTCAAATCTTATCAATTCTATATAAAATTAAGAAAATAAAAACAAAATAAAATTGAAAAAATTATAATCTTATGAATATATGAATGAATCAATGTAATTTTAAAAATAAAAGATAATTTACAATATAAAAAATAAAGAAAACTAGAAAAATAATTAATTTCAAAATAAGAAAATCAAAATTTTTATGAAAAATATGCGCTTTCATTTGATCGTTAAAGTTGGTTTCTTAAATAACCACCCAGTTCGTGATTAACGATTTTTGTAACGTTTCAACAATATAATATCAAAAGAGTCGATATCAAAGACCCACGAAAATTACAAGCTTGTATCAATAAAATGATAAAGCGAAAACAAGCGAATAATTTACCTGACTGAAGTGCACGTGTTCGTCTCTTCCGGTGAGCAGCGAGAAAGAGGTTAACCGACAGGTTAGCCGGCAGCGCACCACTGTTACGTGACGTTTCCTCATTTCTTTTCGCCACATCAATCGCCATTTCTTCTATCGAATATCGGTCGACATCACCAAAAAAACTGTTGAATCACTATTCTTCTTGAAGAATTGAAATCAAAAGACTGCAAGATTAACTGATATGCGGGCCTGAACTAGCAATAGCCGGCACGCGTGACAGTCGCGACTCCAAATTTTTTCTCGACGCGATTTGTACCCCGGATACTAAGAAATCTGATTTTTGTTATTTTTTTCTTTTTATCGTTTTTTAATTTATTTTTCCTTTAATTGCGCGTTTCACTATTTCCAGAAATATGTAACGAAAAACTTTCCACAAAAATCCCAATCGAATTAACCCTCCAGCACCTGAACGTATGACAATCGGCAATCGTTCTTTTTTTCAATCTCTGAATTCATGCTGCTTCAACTAGGATAAAAGAAGCAGAAGAAGAAGAAAAAAGATGATGATGAAGAAGAAGAACAAGAAGAAGAAGAAAAAGAAGTGAATTGAAAGAAAGCAGATTTTGATAAAAATATCGAGAAATCCGTAAATCTGTCTTTTTCGCAAACATGCTGTGTTTGATGATGAATTTGCGAAATTCGGAGTTATAAACTTATTTAAAATATCGATGTCTTTTAAGCTCTTTCTTTGTTTCTCTCACACGCATATGCTCCCTGTTTCTCTCTCACTCTCTATCTCACGCAGCACGCTCTCTATCTCGTTCATGGCCGGTGGAAATGGCCGCATTTTAACACGTCACCAAACACTCGACAATTCGCTCGCATACCAATATACGTGGCAACGAATAATACACACTTACGAATTCATGATAGAGCAGATAGATTTTTAAAAAGATATTCGTCATTTATATGAAGCACATTATTACAAAAAACTTAGATTCCATTATTCGCAGAACCAATAAGAAAAAAGAAAAAAGAATTGTACGTGCAGAAAGGAGCATAGAAATTAGGAAACTATGCAAAATAGATGGGTGACAAGTAGGAAAAAACTAGCGAAGACAAAATCGGTGGACGATGGACGATGATGCAAAAGATCTCCGATTGGAGAGCGAACGCAGAACGATGTGCGAAAATACCTCTTTCACGAACAGCCGGCGACGAACTGGCCGATTGGCCGTTGCACGGGGCGCAAAACTGCCGGTCTCGCGGCGCGCCGCTACTACCCGTTCTGACGATGTAGATCCCACTGGGCGGCCCGATCCTAGACGAATGCGCACGAGGCCGATCGGAGCTAGCCGAATTCGACCGGAAGCCCACCGTACCGAGAACCGCCGAAGCGCGTCGAACCTTTGTACTTTCCGCCCATCTCATCGGGAATTCCTGTCGGAATCGCCACGGTCGCGCCTTTATCCGTGCGTGCAATTCACGGTCCTGCCTTTACGAATGTTTAAGTGTCGCGGGACCATCGACTACGGAATACACCAAAATTTAGCTCTTTAGCTCGTTCTCAGAAATCATGAAACATCTCCTCGCGTAGTGAAATTATGTATATACTAATTGCCATCTCTTTATGACGTAAATCTTAACGACGTTTAAAGTAATTTTAGACTAATTTAGACCGCGATAATACATTTTTCATTAAATTTGTATAAGATTAAATAATAATCAAGTTAAATAATAATAAAGATTTATAATAATCGATTCTATTGCTCGAATTTTATTTTTATGCGAATAGGAAGATATAGAGAACGTTTCTATTTGTTGGCAAAACTATCGATCAAGGAAATTGTTGCAGCGAAACGCGCATACTCGAGGGCTTCGTTTCGTCGTGGTATTAATGCTTCGATATTCTGAAGACTTTGCGGTATACATGTACGGATATATGCACGTAGTCCTTAGTCGTGTTATTACGCGATCTGGTGCAATTGGAAGCGCCCGGCGCCAATCTCTTTCTTGCCTCATAGAAATTGCAACGCGCGCAAAAGTAATATTATCGTATTATGGTTTTGATATTACTTTACTCTTCCTATATCTTCAGGAATATTGTGCGTCCAATTATCGAAGAACTTTTAAAGTGTTCTGAAATCGAAGTTAAATGGAAATGTAAGCTATGAGCGTAATATAAAACTTCTTTTGACGCAAAGAGCAGAGAGGGTTCTTTAAAGAGTCACGGGGAATCAAAACGTTTTCATTGAATATCAATTAATAAATCAGCCAATCGAATTGACGAGATTTTTAGTTTACAAATCGGTTTCATACAAAGGAAGTCTTTTGTCTCGTTATGCAGCACGCGACTTGAAGTCATATTTATTCGTGCAACTGAATTCATTTAGCAATATAATTTTACGACCACGAATTTACAGCATTCTACCCATAGATGTCGAATGATTACAAAAGTATAATAGCCGATTCACTTTGAGAGAATGTAAAAGGAAACATTGGATGCATTGTAAAAAGAGAAAGATCGCATATATCAATACAATAAAGATGGATAGAAGCTTTTCTTCGCATTGACTTTAAAATGATGAAGGTAAAAATTGCACCTTATTTTTGCGACAATAATCAGATAGTATATTGCAAAGATTATCGACGAAAAGTACGACAAATTTTAATGACTTCTTCGAAAAAGATATAAAAGGTAATAGCAGCTCGAATCGTGAAAACCGTGAAAAATCTTCATTGCCAGTTCGAACGTGTCTAAATTCCGCGAGAGCAAGAAGAAAATGAAAAAGCTAGTGGGAGCTGGTAGGATTGTGTGTAATTTCATTTGGATCCAGTGGACGTCGCAATTTGAGAAACCAGGTGGTATCGTTTGATGTGTATGGACTGCGGCAGTAGAATTGCAGAGATGGCTGGTGATGGAGGACGGACCAGTGGGGTGCCAAGGGGAGGGGGAGAGGATGACTGGAGGCAGATAGGTGACAAGGGGATGGGCCTGCAGTGGGGATAGATAGAGAGAGAAGCATCAAGGGAAAGCAAGAAAGGGACGAATGGATAACGAAGAGAAAGAAAGAAAGAGATCGAGAGAAATACATGCAGGTTAGATAGAGAACGATCATTTCCCGTGGAAGGGGAACGTGGGAGAGAAGTGGAGGGAGAAGGGAGAGGGAGAGACTGGGTCCTTCACCCGACGAACGAACTGAACGAATAGCTCGTAGCCGGCGCTGCTACTTGCGTTTTGCTTACCGCTGGACTGCTTGGCTGCCAGTCTACTTCGAACGATTATTATCGTACTGATCTGGCACAATGCACGAAACATTACATACAACGTTCGTACTACCGTTATCCAGTTTTTGACACTGTGCATACACTATCGCCATCACGAATCAACTACCACATTCTCGTATAAAATTTTCAAGCTTGACTTCTCTTTAACACCTGTACCGTCTTTCGGAGAAGCTTATCCCCTGAACGAGATCTCATTTAGTAATTACTCCACGGTCCGCTATGCTATACTGACGAATGTATCGTGTGAATACTCTGCAGAAGTTAGATATTCATACGACTCCTCTCAAGCTTGATAACATTCTACATTCGTTACGTGTCCAGACATCCAGATGGAAATACGAATAGTTATTGTCGCGAAATAAAAGTTGCAATGTGAGCATGAAGCAAGTTCTCTATTCTGAGAAATGATTGGACTTCTTAAAGGAAGATTAAGACTTATGCAAACGTGTTGATACATGCGTTCGTTCCTAAAAAATAGATAATACATGCTTATAGAATCCAACCAGAATAAAAAATTATCGTGAAAAAGATATCAAATCTATATAGACAATTTTCGAATAAGCAATATCATTGTTAAGTTCAGCGTGTACTATTATGGTCTTCTTTTCTTGAGAAAAATATTCGTTAAACAACAAGAATGTATCTCATTCTAGAATAGTCTATGCACACACTGATTGTATCTAAAAATATTTTGCTTTCAAATTATAGATTATATAGAGAAGTGTAATATATTTATGCATAAATATATTTCTACAATGACAATGAATGCAACTTTTTAAAATCTTAAAATGATGAAATTTTAATAGGAGCCTATTAATTTTATCTATTAATTTTACATCTAAATGTCTTAGAATAATATCGTGAAACCTTGTAAAACTTCGTAAACGCTTTCATTATTATATTATCTCGATTTAATGTTTTATTCGTCGATGATTCACGTGTCTATTGTGCCAATGAAATCAACTATCTCGAACACAGACGAAGACATTTGGATATGGTCCACTTGAAATAATAATGTAAAATTGAATTATCTTTTTTTTTTGATAGTCATTACTCTTTTGATAGCCAAAACAATGATAAATCGAATAGAAATTGTACATTGATGGCTGATCAAACGTAGATCACATCTACTTCTTTCGTAGGGAATATAAACGCAGACGAAACCGTGCTCTTTGATCGCGCTTCTAGGTCGATTTTCCAGTAAATAGGTTCAAAAGGAACTTGGTCCAATCTCGTTGATTAGTTAATGGCAATCAAAGCTGAAATTTGTACATTAGGCAATTATTTGCCCTGGAAACTAGCTATTATTAGATAGAATAGATTGCGGCAGCGTAATATGGAAAGCAATCATATAATATATATAATATATATATAATTCAATCATATAATATATAATATATATATATATATAGTTATTATTTATATATTTATTATTCATTTCATTTATCTTGCTTCTATATGTTTTTCGAAATATTTTTCTATTATAATAAATATCTTTATTATCAGAAATATAAAAAAAAAATTAAAGAAACAAATTTTTATTTAAATCCATATCATACATGTCATATCAAAAGATTTAGATTAACAATTATGTTTAAATATTTATAATTTTTATTAATGTATTTATATGTATGTTAGAAAATACATTGTATTCTTATATTGTATTTTCTAACATTAAAACATATATATTTTTATATATTTATATATTTTTAGATTTTACTTGTTAAATACTATAAAAAAACATAAAAATAAATTAAAAGTTTTGTATTTTCAAAACGAAATTTAATTATATTTTTTTTATTCGTAATTATTTTTTCTACATCTTTTGTTCTATTTCGAAACAATGTGCAACAAAACATTCCTTTATTCTTTCCTGTTTTTCCTTCTTCGTATTCTTTATTCTACATGCTTTATCGTGATTCCTGCTAGTGTCCCTCTCTGTCGAACCACGGCAAATTCGCATCGGCCATTAGCCAGTGCCAATAACGTACCAAGGCAGATGGGAGATGTGGTGAAGGTTTGGTGGTTAGTCCGACGTTGGTAGGGGAAAGGGATACGTACTGTCTGCAGGGCCGTGTTCATCGATCAACGCACCTTGCTTTTACAAAATCCTATTATTCGTGAATAACGCACTCTCATTTATATTTATCCATATATAAATAAAATTTCATATTATTTTTATAATGAAATCCATAATTCGATTTATGACATAAGATAAAATAATATGACAATAATACAATGATGAATTGCTTGTATAATTAAAGGATAGATCATTTCATATAATGAACCAAAAGAAATTCAAAGAAATTCAATAGAACATGATAATGCAAATTTTCAAATAAAATAAATTTCAGAAACAGATATTGATATATATTTGTTAAACAGATATTCAAAAAAAATTTGTATTTATTTATTTTATTCAATTGATATGTTTGAACACGATCATTGTTCCACCTTGCCTTTAAACTACTCTTCTTTGTTATAATGAAACATCATTTGTATATTCTATTTTTTTCTTCTTTTTTCTCCACGTATGTGCAACTTCATTTATATTTCTACATGCAACTCGTGCACGTCTCATAAACATAGTGTTAAATGCAATTAGTTAACCATATTAAATGCGAAATATATTTTTCTTAAATCGAAAATTTCTTATTCTTGTATTTTTACTATAACATTTTAATTATAGAAAAAAATTAATAGAAAAAAATAATGAAACTTTTTAATAAAAAATAAAAACAATTGAAAAAATTAATGTTGAAAAAATAGAAATCGAGAGAGTTAATTTTAATTAATAATTATTTTTTAAAAACCTTGTATGTCATAATTATATTCTACGAAAATGAGAAAAATATATTGTTGAATAAATCGATCATTTTTTTTATGAAAAATATTAAAAAAT